CGACGGCTCCGTTGGGGGGGCTTCCCAGGGGCGCCTCAGGGAGCCCCATCGGAGACAGAAGAAGGAAGAAGAAAGCGGCGCTCGCCTGCTCGGTGGCACGACACCTGACATCTGCAGTGGCGCTCTGCGCTCATGTTTCATGCGCTCCCCGCCAGCAGTCCAAAGCTTCGAACGGCGCAGTTTTCTACGGCGGGGGCATCCCCAGCGAGGTGGAAGAGGCGAGATGGCATCTTCGGAGGTCTGCGCAGGCCTCTGGGGGCCTCCACGGATTTCTCGGGACGCCACAGAGCGCGCGGATTGGCTTGCATTAGATGGCTAAGGGCGGACACTCGTCTGGTCTGCTTCGGGAGTCCGCTCCTGGAGCTGAACGTCAACGTGTCTTGCCAGGAAGCGGAGAAACCCGAGGTGCCTGGACCATCTTCCAGATCTTGTGCTCGACATGTCGCCCTCGGCGCCTCCAGATGAGGATGTTGTCTTAAGATCGGGCCGGGCGAAAGGGGGGGATTGGGAAAGGGGGGGTTACGAAATTTGCTGCATGCAGCTGGTTTCGGCCTCACCGAGGGGCCCATTCCTCTATACATGGCCGCCTCCGGCGCCAGGAGGCGCCAGGAAAATCAGCTACGTGAGCTGATTCTCAGACCCCCCCTTTGCTATCCCCCCCTTTCGCCCGACCCGATAAGAGCGAAGTGCCCAGTGGAGCGATGGGCCTGCCAGGGCCGCCAGCGGGGCCCGCGATGCCAATTCGATCCGGTATCGGCTCGGCTCGCCAGCAACGGTTGGGGCCGCCCGGAGCCAAGCGTGGCGATCCGGTGCCGATTCGTTTTGGGGCGATCCGTTGGCGGCCCGATAAGTTTCCGATCTGGCCCCGTTTCGCGGCTCGCTTTTGTTCAGGCCTGCCTGCTTGGGGGGGTACCGTGATGGCCAGGACCGTGGGATCCCCGACTTGTCCCGGTCCGAGTTTGTCCCTGCATCGTTCGGACGTGTGCATATGTTTGCGGCGATGGCCATCGAAGAGCAGATTGGATCATCCGACGGCAAATACGCGCGAAACCGAAAAACGCACGGAGAATGGACGTCCGAGCGATGGCGAGTGTCCTGGCGTCGTCCTTAACGATGCTCTAAAACTCCCCGTCGCCGTGGGCCCAAAACCAGCGGCCAGCCCGGTGGCCACTCACTTTCGGCGGCGAGCCCGGGGGGAAGTAAGAGGAGGGACAGGCGTTCGCAGAAGGCGGCGCGGCTTCTCGGACGCCATCGCACCTTCTGGGAAGTCTTCTGAGCCTTCTCCGAAGACAGAGACGGCCTTTCAGAAGGCGCGAGGGTTTCTGAGAAGCCCCGCCGCCTTCTGAGAAGGCCTGCCCTCTCCTCCCCCGCGGGCTCGTCGTCAACTCTTGCCCATTGCCCAAGGCGCCACCCCCTTCCCAGTCCCAGAGCTCTAACGTCCCGAGCCTTGCCGACCCTCCCGCCCCACGGAGCGGAACGACACACTATCCGCTCGTTGGGCATAGCGTGTCGCCAGGGCCGCCGTAGCGACACGCTAAGCAAAGGTCCCGACCGTCAGGATACGCCAATCCTCCCGTCCGCGGGCCCCAAGCCAACGGCCAGCATGGCGGCCACTCATCTTGCCCAAGGCCCCAGGCGTCCCCCCTCCGTGCCGGAGGTTCTCGAAAGGTTTCGTTGAACAAGCTTAGTCTCGCTAGACTTGAGGCCCACCCTGCCCGACCCGAGTCCCGCCAGCTCGACATGCGGCGCCCCAGCAGCCGTCGAAGTCGCCCTTCTCAGCCTGACCCGACGACTTCCAAGGAGGCCTGAACCCTCTCCACTTCCCCTGGGCTCGTCACCAAATCTTGCCCACTGCCCCCCGGCGTTACCCCCCATGGGCGAGCAGCACGTCCGCCTCCGCGGCCTCGCGGGCCTGGGCCCCCGGGGCCGCGAACCCGCGGCCACGGGGCGCCTTGCCGCGGACATGCCCCGCGCGGAGCGCAGCCGTGCGACCGCGCACCTGTGGGAGCGCGACCCGGAATCCGGACCGCGAGGGCGCGGATACGGGCACGTTCGCCGCCCGTGCTCGCTCGCCCTGAAGGCCCAGGGCGCCCCCCGCGGCGAGGCCCCCCCGCGGCGAGGCCCCCCCGCGGCGAGGCCCGCCCGAGAGCAGCAGCCCCCCCCCCCCCCCCCCCCCCCGGGGCCCTCGAGGCAGGCGCGCGGGCGCCGCGAGGCCGCCCGAGAGCCGCGGCCCGAGGGCCGCGGCTCGGAGGCGCCGGGCGCTCCTGCGCCGGAGGGCCGAGCGCCTGCCCCGCGCGAGGAGTGACCTTTCGCCGGGGTGACTCCTCACTCCTCCTCCTCCTCCTCCTCCTCCTCCTCCTCCTCCTCCTCCTCCTCCTCCTCCTCCCCCTCCTCCTCCTCCCCCTCCTCCTCCTCCTCCTCCTCATCCTCAGGGGTGGCCCGCGCGCCCACAGGGACGGCCCGGAGTGACCTCCAGGGAGTGGCCTTCTGCCAGAGCGGCCTGCTGCGTTGCGGGTCCACCGGGATGGCCACAGGGGCGGCCCGCGCGCCTGAACTTGGGCCCTTCGCGGCCCCCGACAGCCGCGCACTAGGCGCGTGGCAGAGAACGGGGTGGCGGAGGGGAGGACGAGGAGGAGAAGAAGCAGGAGGAGGAGGAGGAGGATAAGGGAAGGAAGCAAGATAATAGGAAGGAGGAGGAGAAAGAGGAGGAGGAGGCCGAGGAGGAGGAGGAGGAGGAAGAAGAGGAGCAGCAGCAGCAGCAGCAGCAGCAGCAGATGAGGGAATAGGGAGGAGGAGGAGGAGGAGGAGGAGGAGGAGGAGGAGGAGGAGGAGGGGGAGGGGAGGAGGCGGAGGGGGAGGGGGAGGAGGAGGAGGAGGAGGAGGAGGAGGAGGAGGAGGAGAAGCCCCCAGAAAGAGTCGGGCTTCGGCGTGGGCCCGACACCCCCGCGCCTAGCGGCGCGCCCGAGCGCGGTGCGTGCTGCGAGCGGCGCGGAGGATCAAGGATGTCAGCCAGACGTGCGCAGCAGCAGGAGGAAGAGAGAGACAAGGAAGAGGAGAAGGAGGAGGAGAAGGAGGAGGAGAAGGAGGAGGAGAAGGAGGAGGAGGAGGAAGAGAAGGAGAAGGAGGCGGAGGAGGAGAAGGAGGAGGAGAGGGAGGAGGACGACGACCCTGTAATCTGCACACTCTGGGCCGTCCTGTTGCGCCACGAGGCGCAGCGGTGCCCGCGCGACACCAGGGGGGCGAGGCGAGGGGGGGGGGGGGGGCAAGAGCGGAGGCGGAGGGGGATGGGGAAACAGACAGGGAGGAGTAGAAGGAGGAGGAGAAGCAGGAGGAGGAGGAGCAGGAAGCAGGAGCGAGGAGGAGGAAAAGAGGAGGAGGAGGAGGAGGAGGAGCAGGAGGACATGCGGAGGCGAATGAGCATGAGGAGGAGGAGGAGGAGGAGGAGGAGGCGGCCAGGAGTGAGGAAGAGGATGATGACGGTTATGATGATGATGATGATGACGATGATGGTGATGATGATGATGATGATGATGGTGGTGATGATGATGATGATGGTGATGGTGATGCTGATGATGGTGATGGTGATGGTGATGGTGATGGTGATGGTGATGGTGATGGTGATTGTGATTGTGATGGTGATGGTGATGGTGATGGTGACGGTGATGGTGATGGTGATGGTGAGAATGAGGATGAGGATGAGGATGAGGATGAGCATGAGGATGACGACGATCATGATGGTGATGATGATGGTGGTGGTGGTGATGGTAATGGTGATGGTGATGGTGATGGTAATGACGATGAAGGTGATGATGGTGATGATGAGAATGATGATGATGATGATGGTGATGATGATGGTGGTGTTGATGGTGATGACGGTGATGATGATGATGATGATGATGATGATGATGATGATGATGATAATAATGATAGTGGTGGTTGCGATGCTGATGATGATCGTGGTGCTGATTGTGGTCATGATAATGGTGATGACGATGATGATGGCGATGTGCTGCTGATGATGATGGTGATAGTTATGGTGAATGTGAGGGTGATGATGGAGATGATGATGCTGATGATGATGAGGATGAGGATGAGGATGTCAGCATGTCGCGCCGCTGGTCCTGGCCCACCACGCTAAGGCGCGACACGCTGTCCATATCCTGGTCTCCAGGCGCCAACGTCCCGAACTGTTCCCGGCCTCCCGCCCAGCGAAGCGGAGCGGCACGCCATTCTGTTCGCAGGGCATAGCGCGTCGCCGGGGCCGCCGGGGCGACAGGCTGAGCACGAGTCCCCGACCTCCTCCTCCTCCTCCTCCTCCTCCTCCTCCTCCTCCTCCTCCTCCTTCTCCTCCTCCTCCTCCTCTCCCCTCCTCCTCCTCCTCCTCCGCAGCAGCAGCAGGAGGGACGAGGGGCGGAGGGGAGCGAGAGGGCCCAGTTGAGGCGAGGTGTTTCCCCTGCAGGGGAACAGAGGATTCGGCGGTCATGACGCGCGGGATCGAACAGGCGATCGGTGCGCTGCCATCGCAGCACAGTTGAATGAATGCGGTTGGCAACCTGCATTGCCTCTGCCACGTTTGCTACTCGAGGCCCTCGCATTCGTTTCTGGGAGTTGGTACCCCTCGGGCAAGTGCAGAGAAGGCGCGGAACCACGACCAACCAGAGTCGGCGAGTAAGCAAACGAGTGCACATAGCATACACGAATTGGTATATGTTCCCTGCCTCACCTTCGTCCTTGCCACTCCTTTTCGTCAAGCACCCTGTGATACTCCCAAGCATTTCAATTATGCCTCCTCGCCTCCTGATCCTCCTCCACGTCCTCCCAGCTTCCGTCGCCAATCCTTGGGGCAGTTTAGGCGTCTGCGCCGCAGGTCGCAAGTCGTGTGCGAGTGTGTGTGTGTGTGTGTGTGTGTTGAGTATGTCCAAACGGTTGTGAAATGATTCGGTGTGCCATTTTCAGCGTGCGCATGTAAAGGCGGATTCGAGAGTGTATGGGTCTGGACTTGCGTGCTCGAGATGTTTGTTCGCCAGCGGTTGGCAGATTTGGCCGTGTTGTACGTTCAGACGCGTCACGCAAGAAAACCATGTGCGGGCCTTAACGCATTTGGGACGCGATGCCGTCCAGGTCGTGGTTTGTGAGTCCACGTCTTTGCCAGATGCGAGAGTCGCACATCATGAATCATGCCAGGAATTATGAGCGTCGTTCAGATTTTGGGGGGGGAGTCGGTGACGCGCGAGTCATGGTTCGCGAGACCAGGTGCAGATCGAAAAGAATCCTTGCCTGCACGTGTCGCGCGAAGAGACCTTCCCCGATGTCGGGATATGGAGGAGGTTTGGGGGCGACGAACAATTCTGGGGTGGTTGGCTTCGCCTGCCCCAAATCAACCGCACACGTCCAGCATTGGGGAGCGGCCCAGGGCCCAAACAGAGCGTGAAAGACGTGCCAGCCGTCTGCGGTGTGCACCACGCCCGCTTCGGCCTCCTCCCGGCGGTGACCTCCAGAATCATCATGCACGTGCCCGTGCTCACGTGCGCGGGGCGCGAGGCCGCGGCCGTGGACGCAGAGCCGTGGTGGCAGCTGCGCGACGTCCTGGCGGCGATGCTCGAGCGGGACGACGGGGCTATCGACCGCAGGCGGCGCATCTTCCTGGGAGGGCTGTAGCTCTGCGGGAGCGCGACTCTGGCCGGGATCGGGGCCAGAGGCGGCAGCGAGTTGAGCCTCGTAGTGATCCATGCGCATCGCGTAGCGACCTGCTTCGGGAACCTCGCGAGGATCTACTCAACCGTCTCTGGGGAGTGCCTGTGCACGATGGAAGGCCACCGGGACACCGTGTGCTCTGCTGTGTTCTCGCCAGACGGGCGGGAGGTGCTGACCGCTTCGGGCGACACGACGGCTAAGATCTGGTCGGCTGCCTCCGGGCAGTGCCTGCGCACGCTGCAGGGCCACCGGCGCAAGGTGGCCTCCGCCATCTTTTCTCCAGCCGGGGAGGAGGTGTTGACTGCCTCGAAGGACGGGACAGCTAAGCTCGGCGGCGAGCGAGGGGGAGGAAGCGAAAAGAAGAAGAAGGCCTTCTCAGAAGGCGGCGGGGCTTCTCAGAAGCCCGCCGGCCTTCTGAGAAGCTTTCTGCGTCTTCGGAAAAGGCTTAGAAAATTCGTCAGGCTTCTGGAAGGCCCGTCCCCTCTCACTTCCCCCCCCGGCTGGCCGCCGACCAGATTTGGTCAGTTGCTTCAGGGGAGTGTTTGCGCACGCTGGATTTTTTCTTCAGCCCTCTTCAGCCCCTCCACCGCGCACAGGAGGTGCTCTCTGCTGTCTTCTCGCCAGACGGGCGGCTGGTGTCGACCGCTTCGGCAAACGGGACAGCGATGAGATGGTCAGCCCTCTCAGGACAGCGCCTGCACACACTCGAGGGCCATTGGTCGGCAGTGCGCTGCGCCGTCTTCTCGCCGGAAGGCCAGAAGGCGCTCACAGCTGCATGGCACGAGGCGCCGAAGATCTGGTCCGTCGCTTCTGGGGAGCGCCTGCGGATGCTGGTGGACAAGTGGGGCCAGGTGGAGTGTGCCGCTTTCTCGCCGGACGGGCGCGAGGTGCTGACTGCCTCCGCGGATCAGGCTCTGGCGATCTGGTCCGCTGCCTCTGGGGAGTGCCTGTGCAGGTTGGGAGGCCATCGGCGAGGAGAGGCCTCTGCCGTCTTCGCGCCTCATGGGCAGCGAGTGTTGACCGCCTCTGCGGGCGGGGCGGGGAGGGTCTGGTCCGCTGCCTCGGGGACGTGCCCGCGCACGCCGAAAAATGCTGGATGGCCAGCTTCGAGCCGTGATCCCTCAAAAGCGTCGAGCAGCCGCACCAGTTGGGGTGCAATTTCTTGAGGGGGGAAGGAGGGAAGGGTGTGTAAGCCACTCGGGGTCTTGCGGGAAGGAAGGATGTCTGATGCCCAGACGAAAATCGCTCATTCATTCTATGCTTCGTCGCATCATGTAAGTTGGTTGTTCGTTGTAGTCGGCGTTTTTGGGATGAGTAGAATATCAGTTCAGCGAGTCCATATGTTGCTTGGCCAGAACAAGTGCGTCGTTTTTGTGCGCATGTGGCCCGTGGGGTACTTCGAGGGACCCTTCGTAGGCCATCGTGTAGTATTTTAGAAACCTGTCGATTGGGCAGCTTTGGAGCCATCATGGAGCTTCTTGGAGCCGTCTTGGGGCCCTCTCAGAGGCGATGTTTCCCCCGAGGTGGTCGAGGGATCGTCTGCCACTCGTTGACAAGCGCCCGCGGTCACTAGTTTCCCCAGCGGGGCCGTCATCCGTGCGCAATTTCGAAGGGGAAGCATTCAAGGAATGCTTGTGGGTTCCAAGACGCCTCTGGCCCGATAGGCTTGGGCACCCCAGCGCCGATGCGAGAGCGCCATCCAAGGAACTCAGCGGCGGATGTTTGGAGCCCAACCGCGGGGCGAAGGCTGGTCTTGGTGTGCGTGAACAAACGGGGCGAGGTGGTGGGCCTGAAATCAACACGTCAGGGTTTGGCTCCTCTCTTTTTCATCTTCCCTCTTGACTCCTCACTCATCGCGGCTCTGACTGGCCCTTGGACGGCCCAAGCTATCCCACGACGGCCACAGGAGAGCACAATGTGGCTCCAAAAAGTTGCCAGAAGGTCTCAAGAGCAGCCCAGGCTGACCCCTCGCACAGCCCCGAACCAGCCCCAAGGAGCACATAGAGCAGGAGGAAAAGGAGGAAGAGGAAGAGGGAGGAGGCGGGGGAGGGAGGGAGGGAGGAGGAGGAGGAGGCGGAGGCGGAGGAGCATGATGCTGAGGCATGGGAGGAGCCTCCTCCTCCTTCTCCTCCCCCTCCCTCCCCCTCTCCTCCAACCTCCTCTCCTCCTCCTCCTCCTCCTCCTCCTCCTCCTTCTCCTCCTCCTCCTCTTCCTCTTCCTCCTTCTCCTCCTCCAACTCCTCCTCCTCATCCTCCTCCTCCTCATACTCCCCCCCTCCTTCTCATCCTCCCTCATCCGTCCACTCCTCCTCCTCCTCCTTCTCCTCCTCTTCCATCCCTTACCCTTATACATAACTCCTCATCATCGCACCCCCAGGCGTGTTTGAAGGGCGGGCGGTTCGCCTGAGACCCTCTCGCCATGAATTATCTTGAAGCTTGGAATGTGCAACACTTTCACGGGCGAAGGGCGAGTGGTCTTCACAATCTGGTTCTCGCCTATGCGCCGCGCACATGCGTCCCGAATATTTGCAACAGCTTCACGGATGGAGGCCGGGTGGCTTCCAAAATGTGGTTCTCGCTTTCGCGCCGCGCACATGCGTCCGAAATGCCTGCAACCGTTTCACACATGGAGGGCGGGTGGTGTTCGAAATGCGGTTCTCGCATTAGCGCCGCGCATTTTGGTCGTGGCAGATGGCAACAGTTTCACGGATGGAGGGCGGGTGGTTCTCAACATGTGTTCGTCGCCTTACTTCACCGCACGTTCGTCGTACAAGCTTGCAAAAGCTTCACGGATCGAGGGCGATCTGTGTTCAAGATGTGTTTGTCGCCTTAGTGTTGCGCACATTCGTCTTGGCTGTTTGGAATAAGTTTAAGTATTAGTATGGCCTCAGTCCCGGGAATGGTGTTCTGGTACGATGTGGGATGGTTTGGACGCAACAGCAATGTTGATTCGCCGTGTTGAAGTCTCAGGAATGGCGTCTTGATACGGTTCAGGATTGTTAGGACGCAACAGTCGCGTCGATCTGCGGCGTTGAAGTCCCAGGAATTGCCTTCTGGCACAATTGAGGTGTCTCAGACGGTTGTCCTCTGATGGGCCATTCCACGCAATGAAAGTAAATTCGGTCAGGGACATATGAAGGAGGAGTTTTGGGGAGGGTTTGGTGCAGCATCGATGATGCGTGTTGGGCTTGCATTGGTCCTCCTCCTCTTCCCTCTCCTTCTCCTCCTCCTCCTCCTCCTCCTCCTCCTCCTTCTCCTCCATCGCTCGCTCGTCCTCCTCATGCTGCTGCTGCTCCTCCCTCGGTCCTCGCTGCTCGCTGCTCCTGCGGCTGCGCCTCCTCCACCCCGAGCCCGAGAGGTGAGGATCGACGCGACGGCCGAAGGCGGCGAGCTGCCGCTGGCCGCCAGGGGAGGGCGAAACGGCGCGCACGCGCGCGCGACGGGCCAGCGCAACTCTGGCCGCTGGCCGCCAGGGGGCTCTGCTGTGCTCCTGCTCGTTCAGATGTGCCACGTGTGCGGAGCTACGCTGTCCATGCCGCGCTCTCATGTGGCTTCGCTGTGCTCCTGCTCGCAGCGCACACCGCCAGAGGCGGCGGAGAGCTTGAGAGGTCCACCTACCAAAAGAGCATGCGCGCGACGGGCCAGCGCAGCTCTGGCCGCTGTCCCAGTGGGCCACGGGACCCTCTTGCCTGGGCGGCTTTGCCCCGCTCCGTGCGGGCGCGGGGTCTCAGGGAAGGGAGGGTTTAGATGCGGAAGGAAGGAAGGAAGGAAGGAAGAAAGGAAGGAAGGAAGGAAGGAAGGAGGAAGGGAGGGAGGGAGGGAGGGAAGGGAGTAGGAGGAGAAGGAGGAGGAGGAGCAGGAGCAGCAGCAGGAGTAGCAGCAGGAGCAGGAGCAGGAGCAGGACAAGGAGTAGCAGGAGCAGGAGAAGGAGGAGGAGAAGGAGCAGGAACGAGAGGGAGGGCCAGGAGGAAGGGAAAGACGACCATAAGGAGGAGGGAGGAAGGCTTCTGGTGGGCTAAGGGAGCCTCCCCCCGGGGTGGCTCTGCCGGCTCCGCGCGGGCGCGGGACTTCGGGAGAAGGAGAGGAGCCCGGCTGCCCTGATACGTACGTGTCGAAAAGTAATACGTACCGTGTTCAACACGTCTCTCACGCACATGTTGGCCCACGTTTTGGCGAGCGCAGCGCGCCAGACCTACGTGTTCAATCTACGTGCTGAGCTGTGTGGCAACGTTGCGCGTTGCGTATCGGGGCAGCTATAAGCTTCAGGGGCTCATGGGGCCTCCCCCATAGGTGGCTTTGCCGTCTCCGCGCGGTCGCGGGGCCTCGCGGTGGGAGGAGGTGAGACCTTCCAGGGCTGGGTAGGACGAGGCTCCCCAGAGCTCCGCCAGGAGAGAAGGTTTTGGCGTGGCCAGCCGACCAGACAGGGGCAAGGAGAGGGTCGACTGCACGTAAGAGTGACCTTTCGCCGGAGTGACCTTCGGTGCGGGCCGCCGCCCCCGGGTCGACGAACGCGATGCGACAGCAGCGTCTTGCGCGCGTGGGCTTGGCTCCTCCCCGCGGCTCCCTCCCCGTGAGCCGCGCACCGAAGGTCACTCTGGCCTAGGGTCGCATCTTGCGTGTAGCCGAGAGGGGGCGATAGGCTGCGGGGGAGGAGCCCCGACCTGCCCCGGCCTGCTGCCTCCGAACCCAATCGTTGGGTGCGCGTCCTCGCCCTCCTCGTCCTCGTCCCTCCTCCTCCTCCTCCTCCTCCTCCTCCTCCTCCTCCTCCTCCTCCTCCCCTCCATTCCCTCCCTCCCTCCTTCCCTCCTTCCTTCCTTCCTTCCTTCCTTCCTTCCTTCCTTCCTTCCTTCCTTCCTTCCTTCCTCATCTAAACCCTCCTGCTCTTCCTCTTCGGCGCCGATCGCGGCCTGGGTGCTCCGCCCTGCCCCCCGGGAGCGTGCGGCTGCGCCATCGGGGGCCTGTCGCCGATCCGGCGGCGGCGTGTCGCCGATTCCAAACGTCCCGCCCCTGGGTTGGCCCACCCTTTACGCGCTCCTCTTTCGGGAGGGAGGGAGGAGGAGGAGGAGGAGGGCAGGAGGAGGAGGAGGGGGAGGAGGAGGAGGAGGAGGAGGAGGAGGAGGAGGAGGAAGAGGAGGAGGAGGAGCAGCAGGAGGAGGAGGAGGGGAAGGAAGAGGAGGAGGGGGGAAGAAGGAGGAGGGAGGAGGAGGAGGAGGAGGAGGCGGAGGAGGGGAGGAGGAGGAGGAGGAGGAGGAGGAGGAGGAGGAGGAGGAGGAGGAGGAGGAGGAGGAGAAGGAGGAGGCGGAGGAGGAGGAGGAGGGGGAGGAACACGAGGAGGAGGAGGAGGGGAGGAGGAGGCGGAGGAGGACGAGGAGGAGGAGGAGGAGGAGGGAGGAGGAGCAGAAGGAGGAGGAGAACGAGGAGGAGGAGGAGAGGAACACGAGAGGAACACGAGGAGGAACACGAGGAGGAGTAGGAGGAAAGCAGGAGGAGGAGGAGGAGGAGGAGAGGAGGAGGGGGAGGAGTACAAGGAGGGGGAGGAGGAGGCGGAGGAGGACGAGGAGAAGCAAGCAAAAGAGGGAGGAGGAGGAGGAGGAGGAGGAGGAGGAGGGAGAGATGGAGGAGATGGAGGAGGAGGAGGAGGAGGAGGAGGAGGAGGAGGAGGAGAGGGAGGAGGGGCAGGGGGAGGAGGGGAAGGAGGAGGTGGAGGAGGAGCAGGAGGAGGAAGAACAAGAGACACATGGGTCGGGACTGTGCGGCGGGACTCTGGCGTCGAAGACGCGTCGAAAGTCCTGAGCGAGAGGGAGGCGGCCCTCATGCGCTGCCCCGCCCTGTGGGCAGGGCCACCCTTCGGGGGGGCCCGCCCTTCTTTGGCCCTGGCCTGGTCGCTCGCCCATGCAGGACTCGTCCCTCCTGGGCACTGCTGCTCTCGTTGTTCCTCTCCGCGCGTCTTGCTGCTGCTGCTGCTGCTGCTGCAGCTGCTCTTTTGGGTTCGGCCTCATCGCCATTGCCTCTAATCTGATAAGAGGAGGAGGAGGAGGAGAAGGAGGAGGAGGAGGAGGGGGAGGAGGAAGAGGGGGAGGGGGAGGGAGGAGGAGGAGGAGGAGGAGGAGGAGGAGGAGGGAGGAGGAGGAGGACGAGGTTGAGGTGGCCCAGGAAGAAGGAGGTAACCGATGCATATGTTCGGACGTCTTCTGCGGTGGATGTTGTCCTCCCGCGGCCTCCTGCAGACACCCTCTTCCTCCCGTGGCCCTGGCCTCCCCCCGCCTCCAACTCACCTCACCTCAACTTCCCTCTCCTCCCCAGTACCTATCCTCCTTGTGTTTATCCCCTGTCATGCCGTATCCCCCTCCCTGACCTACTCATCTCCCTCCTCGTCCTCCTCCTCCTCCTCCTCCTCCTCCTCCCTCCACTCCTCCTCCTCCTCCTCCTCCTCCTCCTCCTCCTCCTCCGCCTCTTCCTCCTACTCCTCATCCTCTTCCTCCTCCTCAGCAGCAGCATCGTCGTCGTCATCCTCGTCATCGTCATCATCACCATCCTTATCATGCCCATCATCAACACCATCATCAGGATCATCAGCATTATCATCATCAGCAGTAGCATCACCACCATCAACATCGGCAGCATCATCGTCGCCATCCCCATCGTCGTCATCATCAGCATCATCATCACCGTCATCATCATCATCATCAGCATCATCATCACCAGCAGCAACATCATCACCGGCAACAGTATTCTCAGCATCACCATCATCGGCATAGTTATAGTCATCAGCAGCAGCAGCATCACCATCATCACCATCATCATCATCATCATCATCATCATCATCATCATCATCAGTATCATCATCATCATCATCATCAACAACAACACCATCGTGATCATCAGCAGCAGCATCAGCAGCAGCATTAGCAGCAGCATGATCCACATCATGATCATCATCATGATCAGCGTCATCAGCATCATCATCATCATCATCATCATCATCATCATCATCCTCAGCGTCATCGTCGTCATCGTCAGCATCATCACCGTCATCGCCAGCGTTATCATCAGCAGCAGTAGCAGCGCCATCATCATCATCATCATCATCATCATCATCATCAGCAGCATCAGCATCAGCATCAGCATCAGCATTATCATCATCATCATCAGGCCAGCCACAACTGGGGGAGTTGTGGTCCTTACCCCCCTGGGGGACCCATCGATTTCGACACCCCTCTCGAGAGACGTCGATGCGATGGGTCCCCCCAGGGGGGGTAGGACCACAGCTCCCCCAGTTAGGCTGGTCGGATCATCATCGTCATGAGCACCCTCATCGTAATCACCATCATCACCATCGCAACCATCATCATCATCGTCATAATCGTCGTCAGCAGCAGCATAGTCATCATCATCATCATCACCAGCAGCAGCATCAACAGCAGCAGCACCAGCAGCAGCATCACCACCAGCATCATAATCATCATTAGCATCATCGTCATCAGCAGCAGCATCACCATCACCAACAGCAGCATCAACAGCAGCAGCACCAGCAGCAGCAGCAGCATCAGCAGCAGCATCACCACCATCATCATAATCATCATCAGCATCATCGTCATCAGCAGCAGCATCAGCAGCATCAGCAGCAGTATCATCGCCATCAACATCATCCACATCGTGATCATCATCACCATCATCATCACCATCATCATCGTCATCATCAGCGCCATCATCATCATCCTCATCATCATCACCATCATCATCGTAGTCATCGTCATAATCATCATCACCGTCATCGTCAGTGTCATCTTCAGCAGTAACAGCGCCATCATCATCATCAGCAGCAGCATCAGCGTCATCATCACCATCATCAACATCAGCACCATCATCGTCATCATCATCATCACCGGCATCATAATCATCATCATCATCATCATCATCATCATCATCATCATCATCATAGTCATCCCCATCAGCAGCAGCAGCAGCATCAACAGTAGCAGCATCAAAATCATCCGCAGCATCAGCATCATCAGCAGCAACATCACCTTCATCATCATCAGCAGCATCATCATCAGCAGCAGCAGCATCAACAGTAGCAGCATCAAAATCATCCGCAGCATCAGCATCATCAGCAGCAACATCACCTTCATCATCATCAGCAGCATCATCAGCATCGTCATCATCATCATCATCATCATCATCATCATCGGCACCATTAGCAGCAGCAGCATTATCCACATTATGATCATCATCAGCATCATCACCAGCATCAGCATCGTGATCATCATCACCGTCATCGTCAGCGTCATCGTCAGCAGCAGTATCACCTGCATCATCAGCATCAGCGTCATCATCAGAGTCATCATCATCAACATCACCAGTATCATCATCAACATCATCATTTGTATCTTTACCCACCATCATCATCACCATCATTATCATTACCATCGTCATCATCATCATCATCATCATCATCATCATCATCATCATCATCATCATCATCGTCATCCGCCCCCTCTCCCCGTGGACCCCCCCGGTGCCCGCCAGCTGCGAGGCCACCCCGCCATGGTCAGGCAGGCCCTGGGCCTGGGATCGGGACAAGTCGCTCCAGAGCGCTACGGAACGCCCGCAGAGCCTTCCAGAACGCCTTGGAATTGCCGCTGGCCCTTAGAGATTCCTGACTTCGCGGTCTCCAGCGTCCTCGTGCCGAGCCTCTCCGGGCCTCCCGCCCTGCAGGGCGGAGCGACACGCTATCCGCTCGCAGGACACAGCGTGTCGCCGGGGCCGCCGCAGCAACACGCTAAGCAAAAGCTCCCGACCGCATATGCAGGCACGCGCACGCAGTGATCAAGATGTGCTCCAACGATATTCAGGGGCCAGCCAGGTGATGGCAAGGGGCAAACCTCGGCTCTGGGACGCGAGAGGCACGCTTTGGAAGCAGGACAGACGACACGTTTGCGAAGGGGTTCGTCTGGATTGCAGAGTCGCATCCCACTGGTCGCAGTGGCACCTGCTTCATATAAAGCGTCACGCCCCCACAACTGCCCAGTGTATTTTGACCATGCCAGGAATCGAGTCGTAAACTATTGGGCAATATTGGAGAGCATTCCGAAAGACACTGTCGGTTGGCAGCCTTCCTGTTTGACTTGCTGGACACATTGCGTCTTGAAGAGGTTGACCGCGGTTTCCAGCAAGTAGGACTCATAGTCGGCCCAAGCTGCTGCCATACATGATTAATCCAGCGCGATAGTAATCAGCGCGGCTGTGGTCGCTCTCGGCCTCCATGGTGTCAACGGAGCTTCCAACTCCTTGGCCGACCGACACCACACCAGCAGGCGTGCCAGGATCACAACGCCCAGGGGCAGAGTAAGATTCAGGAGTAGTTATCGTGACGGAGAAACGGGGAGACCAGTAGCCGTTGGCCAGAAGTCGCAAACGAAGGTGAATCTCTCTCAAGGCAGCAACAATTCGCGCAACCGTAGTTATAGGAGCTGAATTCGACGTCCACTTGGCCCTCGGCACACGACACGCCCCAACGAGCGGCGTCCAATATTTAGCACACGGCGTCCGTATGGCCGATGAACAGGGGGTAGCGGAATTCGTAGACGGCCAAGAAGAACGCAGTGCCAGATTTAGAAGTGGTGTTTCACGCAAGTAATTCCATTATGTTCCGTCTTCTCCTCGACTGCCAGTTAGGTATTTGAAGATCTCGTTGTTTGGTTGCTCGAGGAGAGAGCCAAAGACACACGTCGCTGTGAATAGGAATTCGAATGTGAATCACGCTGTTGTGGACAAGGTGATTGGCATCCCAGCTCGCTTCGTTATGCCTTCCTGGGCGTTAAAGTGTAAGGATCGTGTGACACTCGACGACGTGTCCAGTGTTCGGACATGCCTTGGCCTTGGCCTTACCACGACTTCCTTCCGCAGAAACGCTTGCAATGAAGTGTGCCAGGCCTCCGTGCGGGATGAGATCACGCGTCACAGCAAGACGGAAAGCGCAGCAACAACCATCGCATGTGAGTCGACATCCAGAAGGGTGGGGCGCGTGCAGCTCAAATACGCTCAGGATACCACTGGCACAAGCAGCTGCGTGAGCGATCGTTCTTCTCACCTGCCCTCCTTGAGCCAAAGCGGCTACAGGTCCTCCATCCGCCTCCCACCCCTCTTTCTCCTCCTCCTCTTTCTCCTCGTCCTCCCCCTCCTCCTCGTCCTCCTCCTCCTCCTTTATTTGCTGGGGAGGTTGTTAGGCAGTTCGGCTGTTGTGGTACGAAGCCGCTCTCTCAGGTGATGCCAGGTTCGGGTGCCACCGACCCCAGTCATCGCCCATGAGCTGTTATTTCTCATCCTGCCCCCACCCTCCACCATGCCCCTCCTCCTCCTCTTCTCGCCTGCTCGTTCCCTTCTTCTCCTCCTCCTCCTCCTCTTTCTCCTCCTCCTCCTCCTCTTTCTCCTCCTCCTCCTCCTCCTCCTCCTCCTCCTCCTCCTCTTTCTCCTCCTCCTCCTTCTCCTCCTCCTCCTCCTCCTCCTCCTCCGCGTCCTCCTCCTCCTGCGTTTCGGCCCCCAGGTCATCCGGCAGTTCAATTGTTGGCTCTGCACCACGGAGTTGCTGTCCTTGCTCATGCGAGGCAGAGCCGAGGACCGCTCGCGGGGGGCGCACACGAGCAGCCAGGGCGCACAGTCGGCAGCAGCGTGCACTGGTTAGCCTCTCCTTGTCTCTCTTCCTCCTCCTCCTCCTTCTCCTCCTCCTCCTCCTCCTCCTCCTCCTCCGCTTCCTCCTCCTCCTCCTTTTCTCTCTTGTCGCATGTTCTGCTGGATCTCTTGTTGCGGTCGCTTGTCGAAGAAGCAAAACGCCATAAACATATTTTTTTAGCGCGCCGCGCGGATTTCTTGGATCTGCGTTGGGCCCCCCTGGCGGCGCCTTCGGCGCCGCCCCTGGCGCGCTCCACGCGCCAGGGAGGGGGTCCAGGGCAGAGCCCAGAAATCCGCGCGGACCGCCAACAAAAATATGTTTATGCAGTTGTTTATTCCTTTAGCTTGGGCCCTCGGACAGATGCTCTGACACCGCTTCCCATGCAGCCGCGGGCCTGATACGTGTCAGGGCCAAAAGCAGTCGGCAGCAGCGTTCCCAATGGGCCCCAAACAGTCCAGAACGCACAGGCCGCGCGTGATCCCAACGATAGCGCAGGTCGGATAGGGTCTTTCATGCTGGCAGCTTGTGCCAAGCCATGCATCTGGCGGGGCATACGGCTGAATATGATAAAAGGCTCGATGCTTACCGATTCGGAAGAGTGTTGTCCCTCTCTACATCAGCTGGTCTACCGCGTTCTCACAGCTAGGGTGGAGTACGACTGAGGAGAAGCACGCATGATCAGATCAGTACAAGACTTGATCAGCAGTGCAATCGGGCTGCAGAAGGCCTGGCTTTGGGGCCATTGTCGTATCTCGGCTGCCTCTGACGATGAAGTTCGGCCCCGCCCATTCTGCTGAGAGAATGAGCCTGCTCCCTCGCAGACACGTCTGGTCTCGGTCCACGGCCTGTACAGTACAAGCTCGACAGCAGGGACCGACCAGAGCAGCAGCGCCGATGAACGTCGAGTTGCATCTCAGCACCGCGTGCAATTGTTTTAGCACTTCACACTACGCAAATCGTGTTCGAATCCGGCCCGGTTCTGCAGACGCATGTCTACGGTCTTGATGGGATTGTGTCCTTTAAGTGGCTACCAGAGGCTACGACATGTTTGAAGAATCCGAGCTGTTATGTGTCAAGAAATTCTCCAAGGGCAACGTCGGGCAGTTCAAGGCCGACGGCAAGCTGAACGAGTCTTGGGAGGGCGCCTTGGTGGGCATCCTCTCCAGGAGCGAGAAAGAGAGCGGCGTGCCGGTCGCAGATGCCCTCAAGAGCCCTCAGGCTTGCTTCAGTGATGGTAGGAGTATGCCATGGACACCGTCAGTATGACTAGGGGGGAAGGAATTCTTGACCATTGGGCTGTCAGATTGGTACGTTTCCTCGTAGATGTTACAGTATTATTAGGGGGGGCATGTGGCCTTCCCATTCGCCGATCTGGTCCTAGGCGTTGACTGGGGAGCCACCTTCTGAGGGGCCAGAGCACTGTACTCCATTCGTCTCGCGAAGGTGGCTCGGGCGGCCCAAGACTGCATCTTGCATGCTCGACGACCAGTCGGGGCACAGTCGACGCCATCCAAGCAGGTGCCCCAGAGGAAGCATCTTACTTCGTAAGTCTAGGGACACGTTAAGATGTTAGTGTTGACTCGAAGATGTGTTATTGCACTTCCTATTATGTGGTCGACTACCCCTGACATAGACTGCAACCAGAAATCATGATCGATTGATGTATTGATCCAATGTCATAGTGTCGTCTGCAATTGAATGTGCAATTAAGGGGTGGGACTACGGTGCATGTCTTATCGCACGAAGGCAAAGCGCATTCGTTTGTTCCGAGAGTGGCCACATACACGCAAGCACTTCGTTGTCCAGCGACCTCGCCATAGCCATTCGGCGTGCAGGCAGATCTGCTTCGCAGACATGCAATCCTTGAAACCACCATGATTAGGAATGTGATTACCAAGCCGATGTCCTGGCACTCTTCTGTGCTGGAGAACACCCCCTCTCCCTCGGTGGTCCAGAGCGCAGCGCCTCTCACCGGTCTCCCTGGCCCAGCGGGCCGCGGCCCAGTCGAGCCGAATCCGATCGCCGCAGGGAGCTCGGAGAGGCACGGCGAAAGAGGGCATGACGCGCCGATGGAACAGTTACAGGCGTGCGCGAATCGAACTGGCCGTTTTGCTCCTGGAACGTCGCAGTGATGACAACCGTGGCCACGCGCCGCGCCAGTGAGAAGGAAGATGTTAACCAAAATTGAGACGCACGTGGATGGAGATCGGGATTTGGATAAGGTTGGGGTCGGGCTGGGGACGAGTGCGATGGGCGCGTCCAGGTAAAGATGGCAATAGTGGAGATGTTGATGACGGGTATCAGTATGGGTAAGAGGATGAGCATGAGATAGGGGAGCAAAGGTGATGGATGAGGATGCACATGGGGATGAGGACAAGGATTGGCTGGAGGTGGGCGAGGCAGAGGGTGAGGATGGATGGGGCGCTGGAAAAAGGCACCTTCTGGGCAGCAAGAACGACGCGCTGGCTTGTGAGAAAGCGGTGGCTCAGTATAGAAACACAGGCGCTGCAACACCCCCATGGTTGATGGACTGGCGCCCTGGCCGGCTGGAGCGCTATGTCTCGATTTCTCAGGTCGCCGTTTGGGCACCCCTTGGGGCTCTTGGAACGACGCATGGATAGCGTCTGATGTCGAAAAACGTATCATGGCGCGGGGTGAGGAGCGGAATCAAAGGGTTTGGGTGTGTGTGGGTTTGGAGGCCGGGGGGGGGGGGGGCGGAGGGCAGGTTGGGGAGATCTGGCGTGTCATGCCGCCCGCCCTGTCTTCAAGGGAGGGCTGGATGCCCCCGCGCCCCTCGGGTTGCGTCGTGGCGCGGCGTGCGCGGATGGAGGCGAGCTTCGAAGACGACGTGCGCGGGTCTCAGCCAGCCGCTCTCGTGGACCCACCCGCCCCAGAAACTTGCGCAAGCCCCGGAGGCGTGGGGCCGCCCTCGCTCGCGGCGGGCGCAGGGACGCATATGCAGAGGAGGGCGCGCCCCGCGAGTCTTCCTGGGCCCTAGGCTGAAAGTGACGACGCTGACCATCGCGCACGCAGCATCGCCTCTTCCTTCTGCCAAGAGCTCGTGCGCCGCGGCCCGCGCGTGAGCCCCCGCGAGAACACTGCGCCTGCCGCGGGCAGCGGGGCAGCCGCGGAGCGCGAGGCGCCGAGCGCTCGCGGGCCCGCCCGCCTGGTCGCCGCTCCAGGTGCCGCCGCCTGGCCAGAGGGCCTGGGCCGTGAGACATCCAGATCCACCGCTCGCAGACTGCAGGCTAGGCAGACGCTTCCTCTGTGGGAACAAACACACACACACACACACAAAAGCACACACTCTGGGAAAACACACGCACACACACACACACACACACACACACTCTGTGGGAAACACACACACACACACCGTGGGGAAAAAAACGCACAGTCTGTGGGAAAAACAGACACACTGTGGGGGAAAAAACACACAGTGTGTGTGTGTTGTTTCCCACAGTGTGTGTTTGTTTCCCCACAGTGTGTGTTTTTCCCCACAGTGTGTGTTTTTGCCCCACGATCTTCTTGCTTGCTGGCCGGGAAAGTTTCGGGCGGCCAGGCTTCGGCGGGAGCTCCGGGCCGGCGGCGCTGCTGCCCCCACCGGCCTTCTCCATGGGCCACGCTGCGGCGCGGAGAAATGGCCCCATCGCGGTGGAGAAATGAGGTTGGGCGTTGCTGCCCCACTTCCCGCCCATGGCCCTCGCAGAAGGGACCAGCTGGAAGAAGCACGCCTCAAGATAGCACGACATCGTGATTTTGAGCAGCGTCGGATGCGGCGGTTACACAGTCCAGCCCAGTACTCGTAGCAGGTCGGGCATGTCCCCCATGCAGGCGGATCTGGTGCGAAAAAGGAGAAAGATTCCAACATCCAGAACAAGAAAAGAGAAGTACGCAAGAAAAGACCAGATAATAAAACATCGTCAAAACATCGCCCCCGGGCATTTTTTCCCTAGTTTGAGTTCTCGTCATGGAGAGGGGCAGGCCCGACTTACTGCTTGTGCTCTCTCTCTCTCTCTCGATGCTGCCCCCTGGGTCTGCCCAGGGCCCTCCGAGCCCGCAGGCATCGCGGGAGGAGGGGGGGGGGGGGGGGGAATAATGCATGTCGAACTGGCGTCGGCGGGGGCCCGTCTCAGCACGGGGGCGCTGGCGGAGGGTGTCGGCCGCATCCCTCGAATCTGGAGCGAGAGGGGATCGAAGCGAATGAATGTGTTTTCATGTTTTGGACCGTCGACAACCGTTCCATATGAAGCAAGTGCTTTCTCTGAATCCTTTTCCACGTTTTTTCCGTAGCGCAGGGATCGACCACTAGTATTGAATTCCATTTTTGGATGCTCTTGGACCCACTAGGATTGAAGCCCATCATCCTCGGGATGCCCGTCCGAGCCTGCAGGAATCGCGGGAGGGGGCGGGGAATGTCGGAGGATCGACGTCGGAGGGGGCCCGTTTCAGCACGTGGGCGTTTCGCGGAGGGTGTCGGCCGCATCCCATTCTCCTCGGGATGCTTGAGTCTGCGCTTCTTGGGTGGCGATCTGGGCCAGGTTCGCAGGGTCCGGCCTGGGGGGGCCAGAAACCGAAGCGGCCCTGTCGCCCGCAGCTCCGAAGAGCGCCCGCCGGCGTCGAGATGCCGTGTCCACGCTGAGGGGCGAAGCCGTCTGGGGGAGCGGTCGGGCCAGGCCTCCTGTCGCCTGCTTCCGCCACCGCCTAGACATCCCCCGCGCACGGGCTGAAGAGGGGGGGGCAGAATTCGGGACTTCCAGGAAGAGGAGGAGGAGGAGGAGGAGGAGGAGAAGCTCCCCCCCTGGGTTCGCCGCTAATCCACCCCCGTCCACGGGCTGAGGAGGGGGGGGCAGAATCCAGGGATTCCGAATTCGTCCTCTGTTTGGGTTCCGGACGACTCTGGCTGGCCCCACTCGAGGTGTCGGAGCGTTCCTCTGTCGTCGGCGTTCGCGCCGCGGTTCTGCCGAGGCCCCTCTGCGGAGCAGGTGGTGCATCTGGCTTGAACATGATTCCTCTCGCTTCGCGGGTGTGCACGTCCGGACCACGTACAGTCCAGTTGTTGCGGGGCCTTTGGGGAGCTTCCTTGTGGCCTCTTGGAGGTGTCTTGGGTGGGGGCCTCTTTGGAGGTGTCTTAGAACCGCTCACGCAGTTAGAATGCACCGTGAGCGTGCTGCCTTCAGCCATCGTAGCGAGGATTTTCGCCAAGGTGCGGGGACGTGGAGACTCGCTCGTCGAGGTTCCAACCTCGGGCTGAGGGGGCGATGAGGACGATGAGGAAGAACAGGAGGGAAAAGACGGGGATAGGAATGAGGATGACGACGATGAGGAGGATGAGGAGGGCGATGAGGGAAGCGGCGGCCCCATCTTCCCTCCCAGCGCCGGCTCTACTCATGGGCGCCGCCGTGACCAACTTCCACGCGACAGGGCGCTTTTGCGTTGTATCGCCCCTTGGAAAATCGTCCTGGGGGGATCCCGCGGCCGCCTTGGGGCTCTCTTGGGGTCCTTCTGGGCCGTCGAAGGGGCCTCTTGGACCGTCTTGGGGGCCTCTTTGGGCCGTCTTGGGGGCCTCTGGGGCCGTCTTGGGGCCCTCTCGGGGGCTTCTTAGGCCTTCTGGGGGCCATTCTGCAGGCTGCTTGGGCCGTCACTGGCTTGTCCGAGTCGAGAAAGGCGAGAACGTTAAAATCTTCCCACAACCATACGAACATTTATGATTGTGGCGCCTGGAGGCGCTATTGGGGATCCTCTTGGGGCCCTCTTGGGGCGTCTTGGTAGGTTTTTGGGCCCTCTCGGGGCCATGTTGGGTCGTCTTGGGGCAATTTTGGGGCTCTCTTGGGCCGCCTTGAAACCATCATTCGCCTTCTTGACGCCCCTTGTGGGCTTCGAGGAGGGTCCCGAGGCCCAAATCAATGACTTCCATGCGTTTTTTTAGGTTTTCACAAAGTACGTGGAAACGGGTCGACGACTCGGCGGCGGCCCTGGGGGGGGAGTAAGGGGGGTTGCTTTTCAATGTATGAGAATGCGATGTTTTGCAATCGGCCTTCCTTGACGTATCGTGGCTGGGCCCTGGCGTCACACACCCGTCCTGTCGGACTGCCGAGGCGCTTCGCTGCAGTCCGGACGTGGACCGTCGCATGTGTCATCCTCTCGGTTGCAATTTTGGAGGCAGTTTGGGCCGCCATGCCTCCCTCTTGGGGACATCTTGAGGCCCCTTGGGGGCCTATTTGGGGCATGTTGGGGCCTCTTGGGGGCGTCCTGGCCCGTCTATGGGCGCTCTTCCGCCGTTTCGCCCCTTCGGGGACCGTCTTGGGGGCCTCCCACGGCCGCCTTGGGGCACTCTTGGGATGTTTTTTCGCCGTCCTAGGGGCCTCTTGGACCGTCTTGGGGGTTGCTTTGAGCCGTATTGGGGCTCTCTCGGGCCGTCTTGGGGCCTTTTGGAGGGCTTCTTGGGGTTTCTTGGGGTGCTTTTGGAGGGTGCTTGGGCCGTCATTGGCTTGTCAGCGTCGAGAAAGGCGAGAACGCGAAAATATTCCCAAAACCATGGGAAAATCTATGATTTTGGCTTCTGGGGGCGCTCTTGGGGGGTCCTCTTTGGACATGATTCTTAGGCTTACGCCACACCGCCGACCCCTTGTTTATGCCAATCTGGGGGTAGTAGAAGCTGCGAAGGGGTGAAAAGGCGAGTGATATTTGTTTGGTGTCTGTTCGCCGCCACCGCCAGAGGGTCTCGGGCAGTTCCGCGGGGGGGTCCGAGCGGACGGCGACACCGCGAGTTTTGGAGCCACTTGGGGGCCGTTTCGGAGCCTCTGGGGTGCTTCTTGGGGGTTCCTTGGGGCGTCTGGGCGGCCTCGTGAGGGCCTCTGGGGGCCTCTTGGGGCACTCTTGGGGCCCCCTGGGGCTCCTGGGGGCAGAAAGCTAGAGTTTCAACATGTTTGGTCGCCCTCTTGGGCCCCTCTTGGTGCCGTCTTGGAGCCCTCTTGGGCCGTCTTGGGGACCTCTTGGGCCGTGTTGGGGCCGTCTTGGGCCGTCTGGAGGCCGTCTTGGGGGCCTCTTGGGCCATCTTGGGGCTGTCTTTGGGGCCTCTTTGGCCGTCTTGGAGCGTCGGGAAGCCGAAAAGGCGGAAAAGCAAAAAACATAGAAAAACACTATGGAAAATCAACAATTTTAGACTCTTGGGGCCCTCTTGGGAGGCTTGTTTGGGACCTCGGGGGCCGTCTTGGAGACCTCTTGGCCCGTCTTGGGGCCATCTTGGGCGTCTTGGAGCGGTCGTTTGGCGTCTCGGGGCCTTCGTGGGCCGTCTTGGAGGCCTCTTGGGGGCTTCTTGGCCCGTCTTGAGGCCCTCTTGGGCCCGGAAAAGCCCCGTGAACCGCTCGTCCCGGCCGTGCTGCGCTCGTGCCGGACCCCCCCCCCCCCTCCAAATCGACCGGACCGGGCTCCCGGGGGAGGGGTTTGGGGAGGGGGAAGCATCTCACACGCCGATGATCCCCAAGGGGTCGGCGGATTTGCTCATGCCTGTCTTTGCTGAAGGAATCACGCTGGCGAAGAAAATGGCGCGCTACACAGAGATGAGAGGGGGGGTGGGCCTTCGGGTGCCTGGGGCGCCTTGCCCGGCCAGGCCCCAGTCTGGATCCTGCACGGCGGCGACCACTTCACCGTGGGACTTCAGATTTTATGTTGCACCTCCTGTTTCAGAAGATGAAGAACGGTATAAACTGATCTGTTTCGCCATCGGGGGCGCTTGTCCCAGGGTTGCTGGGAAGCTTATACCCCTGCTGCGGCACGCGGGATGTAAACTTTCGGGCCGACCTTGGACAGGCGTCCACGATGGCAGAAAATCATGGTATACACTTATTCGTTTTCTACCCGTTGTTGTTGTTACTGCTGATGTTCCCTTCCTTCTTCTCCCTCATCACAATTGTTCGCATCACGATACTGTCCATCGCCCGCGAACTATAAAAGTAGTATGTCGTTGGTTGCGCCTGGCGCTGTCTGCGGAACTACATTCGGCGACTCCCTTCGACGAGTGAGGCGGTTGGTTGCAGACACCTCTGCAGGCAAGAGAATTAGTGTGGCGCGCCAGTATGGCTTGTCTCTGGTAGTTGAACGACGAAGGCGTGCGGTTAAAGGTGGCGAGGGGTAAGGAATTTTCTGAGGGCCCGATTTTGCGCAGTCCTTCCCGAGGCGAGGCAAATGACCCATAACTGCCGTATAACAGGCCGCTTACTGTGCATAACCAAGTGGGCATTACGGTGGCGTGCAATCCTCCCTTCAGGGCAAAACGTCGCAGTCAAGGACAGTAAGTTGGCCCACGACGTGATTCACCATGTGTTGTTTGCAAGATTGTCTGGCCCACGACTTTCCCAGAGAAGGCCCGACATCGGCCGCGAGAGATTTGATGTATTATCAAGCATTCCCTCGCCCAAGGCTCCCGCCGTATCCGGCCAGGATGGAAAGGGGTTGTTGTAAGCCAGAAGGTGCTTTGAAGATCGTCGTAAAGCACGGCAACAACACGGGTCTCCGTGCATACAGGCGGAATGTTTGCCAGGTTGTGACATTGTGCCAGTGTTAGGAGCATCCCCAAGTTTTTGACATTTTGCATAATGCCACCAGCCCATCCAGAGACGATGCCTAGAGGAGTTGCCTCGATCAGGGAAGTGAGCAGCACACTGAGGAAGGGTCCTTCTTGGAGCGCTCTTGGCCTCTTGGGGGTCGCTTGGGAGCCTCTCGGAGGCCTCTTGGGCGTCTCTTGGGCGCCTCTTGGGGCCCTCTTGGGGCGCTCTTGGGAGCCTTGGGAGCGATCTTGGGGTCATATCGGAGGAGATCCGACAAAAAAAGATGCGAGATTGAATTGCGACCCCCCCTCGGGAGCCCCAACAATCGCATGTTAGGCCCCTTTGGGGGAGCTCTTGGAATGCTCTTGGGACCGTCGTGGGGCTCTCTTGGGCATCTCTTGGGGCCCTCGTGGGCCTTCTTGGAACAGTCTCGAGGCCTCGAACGGCCAAGGGAAGCGAAAAGGCGAGAAGACCAAACTCATTGATTTCCCCTCGGGTTCTGAGGGATTTTGACCTCTTGGCGGCCTCCTGGGTGGTCTCGGAGGCATCTTGGAACCGTCTTGGAGTGCTCGTGGGGCCTCTTGAAGCATCTTGGGAGCCATCTGGAGCCATCTTAGGTTATCTAGAGCCATCTTGGAGATCATCTTGGGCTCTCTGAGGCCCTCTTTGAGCCATCGTGGGCCATCTTGGACGCTCCAACGCCTCGCGAAACCGCCCTCCAGGTCCAGGGGAGGGGTAAGAAGGGGTCAAGACTCCCTCCCCGCCCGCAAGCCGTCTCGCTCACTCCCACCCGCCCTCCCAACACAGACGTAGCACCCGAGCCTGGCCCGAGCCTCAGCATATTCAGCAGTCGTCTTTGGATGGGCAGCTACTGGGGGCGCATGCCGCATCCGCCGCCGCCTCCGCCGCCGCCCCCGCCGCCCGCCGCCGCCGCCGCTTGCCGCCGCCGCCGCCGCCGCTGCCCGCCGCCGCCGCGCCGCCGCCGCCGCCGCCGCCACCGCCGCCGCCACCGCCGCAGCCGCCGCAGCCGCTGCCGCCGCCGCAGCCGCCGCCGCCGCCAAGTGTACTCTGTATTGTTTGTTGACAGGGATGAAAGTGTGTTGTGCATTGTTGTTTACAAGGGATGTTGGGGGGGGCGCATTGTTCTTGGTTGGCTGCCAGTCGCCTGGGGGAGGGGGTGTATATTAATAGGGAACAGTGATAAACCCTTCCCCGAAGGGGAAGAAGGGGGTTGGACAAAGAAAGGTCTCTAGACCACCTACGCCCAGAGGGCCAGTGGGATTTTGTGATACATTGCTGGCGGCGGTGCTTGCAAAACTGGCTTCAGCATGGGCAAAGGCCATGCCTGCAGCAGAGCCTGGCTCCAAGTTCGTGCTGAACCACTGGAACGGTTTGCCTCCAGGCGGTCATTCCGTCTGCCTCCCTTGTTCGCTCTGTCCCTGTGCTCTAACATCAGTGTGCACGGTGTTGGGAAATTTGCCCGCTGCGCAGTTGGACTAGACAGCGGTTTGGACAGAACGCGTGGGATTGACTGTCGGTGCGCAGGGTCCACGAGACGGGGTAGACCATGTGTCGGCGTGCTTCGCCGCATGGGGATCAGACATGTCCCGCCGAGGCCTGCGCTGTGATTCTAGTACCGCCGCGTGCAGGTGAGTGGTCCGGTGGTCACCACCTCTGGTCGTTGACGACGCTCTTCCTGGAAAGGTGATTACACAAATGAAGTTTTACTTCCGTTCTGAAGAACTTGATCGGGGTGCCACGCGTTTCCCTCGGTCGCCGCTGGTCGCCAGCGCGCGATGCCCTGAGCATTTCCACACACACTTCACGCCCCTCAATGGACCATCCGCTCCGCGTTTTTCCTTCAGCTGCCTGCAGATCGCCGGCGAGCGGGGCCCTGGACAAGCACCGCACCTCGCGCCCCCCACTGGCCCTGGGCATTCACCACACCTCACGCCCAATACAATGCGTTCCACGCACTCTCCTTGCAGAAGACGAATAGACTCTGCCGCCCTCCCGTGCCCAGAGTTATCGGGCCACCCTGGGACACTACGCTTTACCCTTGATCCTGCCTCATCGCTTAGGGGCTCTTACTTCTCATCTACAGAACTTGGCCTGACGGTCGGTCTGGCGGCTATGTGGCCGCCGTCGCCGCCCCGTCGCCGCCCCGTCACCGCCCGTCGTCTGTGGCTGACGGTCGGTCTGGCGGCTATGTGGCCACCGTCGCCGCCCCGTCGCCGCCCCGTCGCCGCCCGTCGTCTGGGCCTGGCGGTCGGTTTGGCGGCTGCGTGGCCGCAGTCGGTCGCCGCCTCGTCGCCGCAACAAGGAATGCACCACGTAGATTGCACAACATAGATTGCACACATTCTAGGGCACGACATAGAGCGCGCAGCACATACACAGCACCACACAGGTTGCACAACATACATTTCGCAGCACACAGATTGCACCGTATACGTTGCACCACAACGGTCGCACTATTTAGATTCTCCTTGCTCAAATAAGAGAATGGGTTCTACCCCCCCCCCCGGGGTTAACGATTCCCTTTTTCGTATTGCAAGTTGCATATGATTCTGCCCCATCGTCCATCCGAAATATGCGTTTACACTATCCCAGGGGGCCGGTATCGCCCCCCCCCCGCCATTCTCTGCAAAAAACACTATGCGCGCAAACTCGTTTATCAAAAACCATAAGTTTTACATAATCCCTTGCAACAAATGGGACGACGTGCGCACGCGCGCGTCGTCGTGCGCGCATGCCGAAATCCTTCAAAACTTTCGGATCCGGAAGGATTTCAAAATCGAGTGTCCAAAAAACATATGAAAACACATGGCTCCGCAGCGCGAATTTGCAAAAACAACATGCGCGCGCGCTCTTGCGATTTTGTTGCGGAAATATGTTCTTCAACATTTTCAGAAAATGCCACCAAACGGGTTTCGCATGCGCGCATGTCGAGTTCGTTCGAACGCCCTTTACGCGAGTGCCGTCGGACGTGATGCTCGACCCTGTTCGCGAGGATGGTCCCCCCTTAGTTTTTGGAGATGGCCCAGGCGGGCAGCCTAGCAGCGACCCTTGTCGCCGTCGCGTGGGCGCGGCTGCGACTACGCTGGCGCCTGTCTCTGGAGGCTTGCATCGGGCCCGCTGTTTCGCCGCGACCCTTGGAGGTCGCGAGGTCCGAACGTTTGAGCTCGCTCTTCGGGGGTTTTCTGCCCCTGTTCGGTTCGTCACGGACACCCTCTGGAGCCCTAGGGGGCCTCTAGAGGCCGTCTTGGAGGCCGTCGATCAATAATTAGGGGGGAGTCCCAATTTGCATTCCCCCCCTGGGGCCATCAGAATCGCCTCTTGGGCCGATCTTGGGCGCTCTTGGGGCCGTCTGGGGGGCCTCTTGGGGCTCTCTGGGGCCATCTTGGGACAAGCTTGAGGCTTCAAAAGCGCATCGGAAGCGAAAAGGCGAGAAGGAACAAATCATGAACCTGCCTCCTCCTCCTCCTCCTCCTCTTCCTCCTCCTCCTGCTTGTCTTCCTCCTCCTCCTCCTCCTCCTCCTCCTCCCTGCTCGTCCTCCTCCCTCCTCGTCCTCCTCCCTCCTCGTCCTGCTCGTCCTCCTCCCTCGTCCTCTTCCCTTCTTGTCCATGTGCTCGTCCTCACCCCTCCTCCTCGTGATCCTCCCCTCTTATCCCCCCTCCCCCTCGGAGGGCCCCCGATGGACCCCGGAGGCGGAGAGGGGGCGCTCCCCGTGGCCGGGAGGCGGCCCCCGCCTGGCCGAGATCGGCGTCGCGGCGGTCCGGGGCGCCGTCGCCTCCGGGGCGAAGGAGGCGCCGAAGTTCTACAAGCCGGTGCCGGGAGAGGTGGACGACTTGGTGCAGGCAGGCAGCCAGATTTGCGTGGCCTCAAAGGAGGGATCCAGCTGAAAGGGGGTGGTGCACTAGATCTGGTGCAGCGGATTTGTGGGGGTGCAACAGGTTTGGGGCGTGCAATACATTCAGGTGCGCAAGTCGATTGCTGGGTCTTCGCGCGAAACACACTAGATTCAATACAATGCAATACATTTCTCTGGCGCACTAAATTTGGAATACAATTGCCCAAAACCTGTTGTACCGCCCCCTTTCAGCTGGACCCCTTTTTGGGTCGCCAGCCGCCGCAGGTGTCTGCCCAGAAATCTAAGGAAGATGCACCGAGGGTCGAGTTTTCGAGGCCTACAGTTTCTGAACGCGTGCGTCGTTTCTCGGCGGTCTTCCAGCTTCGGGATGCCTGCCAGAAGCTGCACCTCGCCGAGGGCGTTCCAGGGGTGCCAGAACCGTCCCGAACGGCCGACGGAGAGCCGAGTTATGGCCCGAGAACCACCAGGCACGGGGATAGGAATAGGCTCTCTTGCAGTTGTGCGCCACTGCCCCCTTCCCTCAACTTGCGCAGGGCCAGCGAAAGTGTCCCGACAATCCCAACATGTGTCAGGAGGGAAGGAAACACACAGACACCATGAATCGTCGACTTCCAGGAATATATATATATATATATATATATACATGTGGGAATGTATGGGGCTTTCATGGGAAGAAAACAAAAACCCAGAAAGTATGGGAAAATATGGGGGTCCTGTTATTTGTGTGTACTTATGTGTGTGGGTGTGTGTGGGTGTGTGTGGGTGTGTGTGGGTGTGTGTGGGTGTGTGTGGGTGTGTGTGGGTGTGTGTGGGTGTGTGTGGGTGTGTGTGGGGGTGTGTGGGGGTGTGTGGGTGTGTGTGTGTGTGGGTGTGTGTGTGGGTGTGTGTGTGGGTGTGTGTGTGGGTGTGTGTGTGGGTGTGTGTGTGGGTGTGTGTGTGGGTGTGTGTGTGTGGGTGTGTGTGTGGGTGTGTGTGTGGGTGTGGGTGGGGGTGGGTGTGTGTGTGTGTGTGTGCGTGTGTGTCTGTGTGTCTGTGTG